ATGATTGCATCTAGCATGATATAGACTATGGCCTATAAGTGTTGACTTCTATGTTCACTTTTATATCTATCTATCTATCTATCTATCTATCTATCTATCTATATATATATATATATATATATATATATATATATATGCGTGTGTGGGGGGGGATAACGATACTGATTAGTATAAATTGAACCAAAAAAGCGTTACTCTTTGCCGCTTTTGGTTTCAGTATATCATGTGACTGTCAAATTCTTCAAGTCATCTCACTTATTGTTTCTCCTAGAAATGTTAACAGTCTTTTTTTTCTGATTCTAAGTGTTTTTCTCAATTCCATTTTCTGTAAAAATTTCTTCGTTGCTCACATGACCCATACATGGTATTCTTAGCATTCCTCTGTAGACCCACCAAATCTTTGTTGCAATCGAGTCTCCTCTTCATCTGTGTGGAAATTTTCCCACCATTAACTGCCGTATAGGACGATTGATATTACACAGCACTTTGGTAATCTTTTCTTAGTTTCTAACGAATTATACTCCCACAAACTCATTAAATAGGTTACTCACTGTTTCCCTATGTCTCTCTTGCCAGTGATATCTTGTGAGTATCAAATTTGCCAAGCTTTCTTTCTTCGTTAGGCATCCAAGATATTTCAGTTGTCGGTTTCTGATTCTTAGTATAAGTGTCAACTTTTGTTCCCATTTTCCTTGAACTTTGAATTTTACTTTTTTTTAAGCATTTCACCCCAAGCAAGGTGGGGTGCCACTATCATGCAAGGGGTTACAGAGAGTGTGAGCAAGAGTAAAGAGGCGTGATAGAGGAAAGGATGAAGAGAAGGATGGGGAATCAGATCAAGGCATCTGAAGATGTCGATTGACATTGCATTTGAATAATTGAAGATTATAGGTATCCGCTATCAGGATAGCACTTACATGCTCTCAACATGACCTTCCAAGCATCCTTCTGTAGAACCAAATCTCCGTTGCTTCAAATCCACTCTGCAGCTTTGAGAATAGATGAGTGAACGCTTGGGAATACCACGTGCTGTAATCTTGGATGCGCGGGTGGTGTAATGGATAATGGCTCGTAATTGTTAATTAAAGAACAGAGTTCCAATCCCAGTTGGGTTCGTTATATTCACTTACGCCCGAATACCCTTGGGAAAGGCATGAATCCACCCCTTCTTCCACTATCTATAAGTTGCTTAATGGGGCCTTTATCACCCAATTATTATTAATTTTTTTTTTAAATCTTACAATCTAAAAGTATTTTCTGGCTTTAAATAACCTGAAAGGGGTTGATAAGCCGTAGAAAACGGATCCATCGATCAGCAACCATCCGTGAGAAAATTGTGCTGTGATTTAAATGCTAAGCGGGTTACTACATTCAGGACAATAAAAGGATTTCATTGAATAACTAAGCAACAATAATAAAAAAAAAATTAACAAGATAAACGATTTATAAAGTTCAGATTGGAAATGTATAGCAAAGCGCAAATTATTTTTTTTACAAATTTTATTTTAAAGCTGAGCAGTCAAATTAATTATCGCCATTAGGAAAGAATCACTAAATAGAACCAAGATACAAGACACGTGCCGATAGGTTTAAATGATTAAAGCATTTTACTAAGGTGAATTTATTATGCAGCGTCCCAGGTTTTCGTCTCCTAGGCAGCACCTCTCCTATTTACACTGAATTGGAAGGACACGTTCAATCCCTAATTCCTGAGGCGTCCCAAATGAAGTGCCAAGGAAGATGAGGGCTTGTTTTTTGTTATCAATCCCATGTACACGTGACACACCCACCTAATTTCGATCACGTGTCATGATCCGTTCGAGTAGGCGTGCAGATAAAAACTATGACGAAACCGAATTTATTTCATGTTACAGTTTTGCGTAATATTTGCACACACACACACACAAGCGCGCAAACATGCAGCCAACTTTATATATATACTAGCCGAATTACCCGCGACTTGCTGCATGTCACACATTTTTTTTATTTCGTAAATAAAGGATGATTGATTTTTAATTCATTGTTATTTGTAGAGAAAAATGATGAATTTTCAATATTACTCAATCTTGTCGATGTGATCCACTCTCATTCGCAGACAGTACTGTTTCGCAGCTCCTCAGTGCAACTAAATATCCGAATGCATCAAGCCAGGATTGAAACCCAACCGATTTGGTGTTGCTCAAAGTTTCTACCACTGAGCTATCTTCACTCGGCAGTGTTAAGCAGCTAAATCTAGCGTATTGTTTTTACGAATGTAAACACATGCCAAACAGCCGGAGTGCTCCATTCATTTTACTGAAGAGCTTTGCATTAGCGCAGGTGGCTGTTGTTTAGAGAATGAACTTATCGCTCAATTGAAATATATTTTAGTGCTCACCCGTCGAGGTGTAATTGAAATGCACCGAAACGAAGTTGCATCTTTGTAGTGAGTAAACTGTTTTTGTCTATATGATAAAATTATATATATATATATATATATATATATATATATATATATATATATATATATATATATGTGTATCAAAAATACTTTTACAAACTTTGGTGGCGGGTTCCTCACAATAAAACAAGGACAAAAGTCCATATAAACATATGTCCGCAAATAATTCGTTTTTGAATTATTAAGTTCATGTCTATCTCATCTTGCTTTTTTTAATACTGCTCATTTTTTTAAAATACTGTTCAGCCAATACAAGAACCAAGAGCCACTCAATGCAGAGTGTTATTAAATGTAGTTCTTATCATAGCATACAGGGAGGGAGCAAATAGTGCATATTATTCCGATATATACCGAATAATGCATTTCGCCTATATGGCTTCATCAGATGAATAACGAAAGATGTGTTGTGTGTGTATGCATTTGTGTGTGTTTAAAATAATTAAATCTTATATTATTTTTCTCAAACTGGCGTTGCTCGAGAAAGATAATGAGTGATTTTTTTTAAATTGTTTAACATTTTATATTCTCCGCATAAAGTGTCCGAGTTTTGAGATGGAAAATCCTTCAGAATGAGTAGAAAATAGATGAAAGACTTGTTACAGTTTTTTTGTGTATTCTTTACTAGTGAGCCAGTCAAAATGAGCTGACTCATTTTATAGTCCACCAATAGAAGGGTTAACCAATCAGAAAGCTCAAAATATTCAATGCGACGTGTATAAAGGCACCCATTTTTTGTTTTTTTTTTCTCCCAAACTATCCTCACTGCCAACCTGATATCGAAGACTTAAAGAATTACTTAACAACCGCTACTTTCTCTGAATCTTCACTGCTGACCTCTGATATTGAAAAGATTACGGACTTCACTGGATTCCATATTCAGAGACAGCGGCAAACATGGTCAACAAGAATTGTTTTTATCCATGCGTTCTCCATGTAACGGTGGAGTAATGGATAGCGGCTCGGATTGAGGAATCGGAGAGACGAGTTCGAATTCCAGTCGAATCTATTACATTCACTTAAAAGTATAAATCCTCTTCTTCTCCCCACCAGCTAGTGGTAAATAGCAGGACAGATCGGGTTATATAGTCTTGGATGGCAACTGGTATACCGCAGAAAGAAATGACAACCTACTGCTGGAAAAATCTGTCTCGTCAGTCATGTATCGAAAGATACATGATCGCCTACGCGTGTATCACGCATGGCACAACAAGGAGACAACTGACTGGAAAAACGTTCATGAACGTATGCTTCGAAAATATTTTTCCCCAAATGCCAATAACCTATAGCTCTCTCGGGATTACATACCTAAATTTATTTCATATATAGGATAGAGAAAGGTTGACCTAAGATATGGATTCGATATGGTAAGCATCCTCTCGGGAGTCGATTCACAATGCAAAGTTCTGGAGTAGAACTTCTGTGTCTGAGTGGAACTTCCCCCTTACCAATGAAACAGGAAAGGAATATGGATGAGTCAACACAGTGTATATGAACTGGTGTGTTATAACCTTAAAGGTCTGGACTAGTAGAACAAAGGAATTCCATGAAGATGTCGATAGAGTATCAAAAGGCTAGCAACGTTTTGCCTGTGGGAAAGAAAGTTGTAGGATATAAAACAATTCATCGCCTACAAGGCCGCGAAAATGCTTTTGAACTCTGGAACACCAGGGAAAATCTTCAGTTTGGCATCTGTTATGACATTGACCAGTAAGTGGGCGAAGGTACTTTAGAGAATTACTACTTCAGTGTTAAATTTGTCTGGACAGGTGATGAGGAAGAGGTCTACGAGTTTAGTATAATACCAAGAACACGAGTAAGCTTATGCGCGATCTGGGTCAGCCTGTAAGCGATAGAAATATCAGGACAGTATTTGCCTTCCCCATCGGTTATATTGAAAAGAACTAACCATTCCTAATAGTTAATATTTAAGTAACCACAAATATGAATGGTAGCCGAGGGGTGATCAGAGAAATATATTTGCCACTCCTGAGATTTTGTCTTAACTACCCGGCTAAAAGATTGAACTCACGACTATTATACCGCCGAATTCATGAACCAACGCTTCAATCCAGTTGGCTATTGTCCCACGCGAGTTCAATCCCTGAGAAGAGTAGTAGAGACTCGATCCAGGGTGAAACAGAACTAGTAATAACCAAGTCGTACTAAAAAGACATCAAGACGTCAACAGCCGAAACGTTGTGATAACAACTGCAAAGATTAGGGCATCCCTGGATATGGATAGCAGTATGGTAACAGACGGAGACCTGAAGAAGATCGAAGCACACAACAGCCGAAACGTTGTGATAACAACTACAAAGATGAGGGCATTAGTCCGAATGTAAATAAACACCGCATCTCAGAAATCCAGGCAGAATGTTTCTGTAGTTATATACTCTGAGCTTCTTTAAATTCCTGTTGTGTGTGTGTGTGTGTGTGAGAGAGAGAGAGAGAGAGACAGAGACAGAGACAGAGACAAATTTTAAAAAGTATGAGGGAAAATAAATAAGGAAAAACAGAAAACGAAATAGACAAATGAATTACCAGGGAAAAGTAAAAAGTGTTAAGACGTAAGAAAGAAAGAAAGAAAGAAAGAAAGAAAGAAAGAAAGAAAGAAAGAAAGAAAGAAAGATCGAGACGTAGAGGCAAGAGGTACAAAAGCAAAAAGAAAAGAAGAAAAGGAAAAGGTAGAAATGATAGATGAGAGAGGAGAAACGTGGGAAAGAAAGAAAGAAGTTAAACAAGTTGAAATCAAAGAAAAAAGAAAGGAGATGTAAGGAAAAGAAAGAAAGAGGAATGCAAAAGCAAAGAGTTGACTAGTCGGAAAGAAAGAAAGAAAGAAAGAAAGAAAGAAAGAAAGAAAGAAAGAGAGAGAAAGAAGTTAAACAAGTTGAAATCAAAGAAAAAAGGAAGATATTACGAAAAGAAAGAAAGATACATAAAAGAGAGGAGTGCAAAATCAATGGGAGTATAAAAATTGAGAAAGAAAGAAAGAAGAATACATAAATAAAAAGGAAAAAGATTAAAAATGAAAGAAAGATTCAAAAGAAATAAGAAAACAAAACTAAATGACAAAAAGAAAAAAATATAAGCAAAGGAAAGGGCGAAAGAAACTAAACAAAACAAGCTGAAGACAGAAAGAAAGAAAGAAAGAAAGAAAGAAAGAAAGAAAAGGGGGAAATAACATAAAAAAGAATTAAACAAAGGAAAAAAGAAAGAAAAGTAGAGAAATAAAAATACTTAAACAAAAAACGCAGGCGAAGGAAACAAATAAAAGAAAAAGGAAACGAAAAAGGAATACTGAAACAAAACAAAGAAAAATGTAAGCAAAAGAAAGAAAGAAAGAAAGAAAGAAAGAAAGAAAGAAAGAAAGGAATAAAGAAAGAAAGAAATGAAAAAGAAAGAAAGGATAAAGAAAGAAAGAGATAGCTAGTGTAACGAAATGAATGAATTGGGCATAGTAGGATTGGGAGAGATTAAAAAAATTCCACAACCTTTTGTTTTGTTTTAATTTAATTGTTTCATAACGTCTGGCCCCACTCCACAAGTGGAAGTTATATTGGTTGGATAATTATTAAAGTATCCGACAGGGCAGGAGTTGGCACGAGAATAGAGGCGGTTGCTGGGGTAGACATTTTGTCTGCTGCAAATGATTTGGGTGAAACGGAAATGACGTAGAAGCGGGAAAAAGAGAAAGAGAGGGAAAGGGAGAGAGAGGCGAGGAAAAGGATACAAAATATTTCATTTTATTTCCTAGAAAGTTATTTCAATTAAGTACAAGTCAATGGAGGGGAGAAAACAAAAAGAAAAGAATGGAAATTAATCAAAATTAAACGAAAGTAACATAATGACAAAGAAAAGAGAGAAAAACGAGGGATAGTAGGAGAGAGAGTGTGTGAGTGATAGAGAGAGAAATAGGGAGGGTGACGGATAAAAAAGAAAGTGATGTGTAAATAGTAAAAAAACTAAGAGGAAACGAGAGAAAAAAAAAGAGAAAAAGAAAAAGAAAGGAGGGTGAGAAGAGAGGAAAAAAAACAGTGTTTCATTTTTTTTTATTTCTTCGTTAAGTTATTTCAATTAAGTATAAGTCGACGAAAGGTGGGAGAGAAAAGAACCCAAATTAACCGTATGTAATATAATGAGAGAGAAAGAAGAAGAGAGAAAAGCGAGCGGGAAAGTAAGAGACAAAGAAAAAGACACAGAGAGAAAAATAAAAGGAGCAAGAAAGAAAAAGAGGGAATGGGAGATAAAGAGAGAGTGAGAGCAAGAGAGAGCACAAAAAAAAAAAGAAAACGTCAAGGATTTTTAAGAAAATGAACGCGAAACATAAAAAGAGAGAGTGGACAAGATAAATAAAAAAAAAAGAAAGCGGTGAGTAAAACAAACAGTGAAAGAAAGCGTGACAGAGAGAAAGAAGGGAAAGAAAGGGATAAAAGACAGGTGCGTGAGAAAAAGAGAGAGAGAGAGATTGTTCTTGGTAATAAATAAATACTATCAGTAATGTGAGAGGAAAAAAAGAAAGAAAAGAAAGAGAAGTAAACAAAAGAGAAGTAAAAGAAAGAGAAGTAAAAGAAAGAGAATACAAAATTCCCATATGAGATCGAGAAGACGTCTGTTGTTCCATTTTTTATGTAAGTGCAGAAAATTGTTTTTTTCATTATTGGGTGAGTTTTTTTTTTACTTAACTTTTTTCTTTTTTTTTTCTTATTTTCTTTTTTCTTTTTCTTTTTCTTTTTCTTTTTTATCCCTGCGACATTTATTTTTGTTGATTTTCATTTGATTTTTTGTACATGTTTTCAATATTTTCGTTTAATTATTTGCTTTGTGTTCTATTTATTTTTATTTGCTTTTAAACACCACTTTCTTTCTCTTCCTTTCCTTCTTTCTTTCTTTCTTTCTTTCTTTCTTTCTTTCTTTCATTTCCATGCTTTCTTTCGTTCGTTCTTTCTCTTTCTTTCTTTCTTTCTTTCTCTTCCTTTCTTTCTTTCGTTCTTTCCTTTCTTTCGTTCTTTATTTATTTAGTTATTTATTTATTTATGTCTCTGTCTTTCTTTTTCTTCCTTCCTACCGTCCATTCTTTTTTATTTATTTATGTTCCTTTCTTTCTTTATTTATTTCTCTTCCTTCCTTCCTTCCTTTCTTTATTTCTCTTTCTTTGTCTATTTTTTTCCTTTTGTTCGTTCGATCATTCGTCTTTTTCTCTTTAAATAAGTGATTTTTCTTTCGTTCACTGTTTTCTTTTTATAATTATTTTTCTTTATTTTATTCGTTTTCTTTTCTTAAAATTACTGATTTTATTTTTGTTTTTTAATTTATTCTTTTCAATGAGTGAATTTTTTTCTTTCGTTTTCTATTTTAGATAAATGATTTTCTTTCTTTTGTTCATTCATTGGTACACTTTTTTATACTATTGATTTTACTCAATTTTTTATATAAATTAAATAATTGATTTTACTTTCAATTTTCATTGTTTTCAACGAATGGTTTTCTGTTACGTTACTTTTTTCTTTTAAATTTTGTTTTCTTTATACCTTACTTTTTGTCTCTCTCTCTATCTCTTTCTTTCTTTCTTTCTTTAATTATTTACTTATTTGAATAACTGATTTGTTTTCGTTCATTCATTGAGACGTTTTATATCTATTTTTTTTCGCTTTTTGTCGTCATTTGAATAAATTAATTTATTTTATTTTCTATCAATTTCTAACGATTGAGTTTCTTTCTTTCTTTCTTTCTTTCTTTCTTTCTTTCTTTCTTTCTATAACATCTTATTCCCTTCTCAACTTTATTGTTTCCTGTTTCCATTCTTCCTACCTCCATATTTTTCTTTTTTAATTCTTCTGTCCTCAATTTTTCATCTTGTTTGATTTCATCCAAATTTCTTTTACCCTATATTCCCGCCCGTCCTTTTTCAAATTTCCGTCTGTTTCATATCTATCTATCTGTCTATCTATCTATCTATTTAAGTCTTATTCTATCTATCTATCTATCTATCTAAGTATAATACAATAGGATGGTAACTAAAGTTACAAGTGTGTGTGTGTGTCTCTATATATATATATATATATATATATATATATATATATATATATGTATGTAGTTCACTGCTACCACCAAGCAGAATATTTTTTTCTTCTGATTATGGCCATGTTGGCCGAAACTAGTCAAGGAATCTAATTGAAATAATAAAAAAAAGACGCAAGAATATTAATATACAATCCAGTATGTCTGAAGATTTTTATTTTTTAATATTTTTTATTTTTTATAATATATATATATATATATATATATATATATATATATATATATATATATATATATATTTAATCAATATATTATATATATATTTAATCAACATATTACATATATATATTTAATCAATATATTATATATATATATATATATATATATATATATTTAATCAATATATTATATATATATATATACATATATTTAATCAATATATTATATATATATATATATATATATATATATATATATATATATATATATTCGCTTGAGTATGAAATGGAACTAATGTTTTTAATTTAATTACAAAATTAAATTCAGCTTTCAGCTTCCATTTTTTTGAAACATGGAATACTGTGTAGCGAAAAAAATATTTTAAATCAGTTAATTTACAATATATATATATTATAAATATTATAAATTAATGGTTCCTTCTATATATATATATATATATATATATATATATATATATATATATATATATATATATATATATATATACAGGCATGCTGACAAAAACACGAAAATGGAAATAGATCTAAGGACACACAGGGGTCATTAAAAGATAAGCATATATATATATGCAGGTAAAATCAGAACAAATGGATTATGATTCCATTGTACGTAATATTTAATTTAAAAGAGGGCTCAATACAGAGTAGAGCTACTGGGCCAGTAGTTTAACATCGCCTTTGTAATTGTGTATCGTTTTTTTATAAGATGTTTTATTATCCTAAAATAATGTGTGTTTGTGTATGTGTGTGTGTATGTATGTGGTGTGTACAGATGTGTTCACTGATTCCTCGTAGTGAGAAAGTGTTTATGTATGGACAGCGGATATACACATATATATACGCATGCTGACAAAAGCACACGAAAATGGAAATAGATCTAAGAACACACAGGGGTCATTAAAAGATAAGCATGCTGATAACTACTCCACAATTTTTCAAACCAATCTTAATTGTTTTATAACCCTTCACGCAGAACTTTTCACTGCCAGTTCAAGAAAGACGTTTGGATCACTAACACAAAAAAAAGAGAATGTCTCATATCGAGAATATTTAACATCGAAAAACATAAAGAAAAAAAAATTAATTATTTTTTAATAATATGTGGAAATCTCCACCGTTTGTCTGATGACGGTCGCGAGACCAGAAACACGTGTAGCAAAATTACGGAAAATAGAACATAATATTCTTTTAAAAATCCACATTACAACCAAAAACGTTTGCGGTATCTCTCTTCTTTTTAATATACACATTTTTCTCTCGTTGGAACTACTATAACCTCTTCTTTATATATATATATATATATATATATATATATATATATATATATATATATATATATTTTAATTTATATTTTTTAATAATACCTATGCTTGTGTTTGTGTACGTATGTATTTATGAGTATATTCTTATTACTTTTAATATAAATATTTATATCGTATAAACACACACACGCATATATATATATATATATATATATATATATATATATATATATATATATATGTGTGTGTGTGAAAGTATAAATATAAATAAATATAAATAAATATATATATGTATACTTATTTATATATTATATGCGCGGTACTTATTAGAAAGCGCTCAATATCAGAGATAGAGCTAACATATTTGGTTAAATATATATATATATATATATATATGTGTGTGTGTGTGTGTGTGTGTGTGTGCGCGTATATAAAATAAATTCATTTTTTTAATCAATACATGACTTTCTGTAATCAGTATCTTTTTTATTCTCATAAGTAAATGCACTAATTTGTGCCTGACAATTGCGACGTACATCAGTTGCGTCGAATTGGGGTGGGGGAATATATACTTATTTATTCTAGTAAAAGTTTTACATTTGTTATTTTACATTAAACAATGGTTACCAGCACTTACTACGTGCTATTTCATATTCATACATACATATATATATATATATATATATATATATATAGGCGAGTGTGTGTGTGTATTGAAATTGAGTACTACGTAGTTCAAACACTTGTTTGTTTGTTACTGACACTCGCAGTTGAAGATTGAACCCAAAACTATGGATATTGATTTACACAACTCTTTATGCTTGAAGATTTTAAAAAATGCCATCATATTTCCAGCCGTCTATACATTCATGCATCTCTAAATTTTACTAGCTATATATATATATATATATATATATATATATATATATATATATATATATATATATATATATATATATATATATATATATATATATATATATATATATATATATATATATATATATAATAAGAAAATATTGGTAATCCGTATGGATAATCCCAAAGAGGATGAAATGTTGAGTTTAAGTCAGAGCGAATAATTTAATTTAAATATATATATATATATATATA